TTTTTGGCCACATTTGGATTTCCCCAGAGTTGGTCAGACATCCCCCCTGGTGGCCTCAATCGCAAACCAAAAATTTTATCCCCTGTCTTCTTTCATCTTCCCTTCATTCTCTTCACCTTCTCAGTCAATCGTCTTGAATAAGGTGATTATAAATCATGTCACTCCTTTCTCGGTTCTCATTCAGTTTTCTACCCATGACGAGCTGGCTGCTGTCTCTGCCTCTGGCTTGCAGCTGCCCTGCCAGTGATTTGTCGCTAAAACCAATGGGTGCTTCTTTTTCTTCTCTTACCTGATCTCTAGGCAGTGATTGGAATTGTCCACCACATCCTTATTTTTGCAACATGCTTCTCTCAAACTCTTTTAGTTTTCTTCCTCCTTTGCAGACTCTTATTCCTTTGCCCATTCCTTAAATATTGGTCACTCTGAGGGTTCTAGATAAGACTGTCTTTTCTTCCCACTCTGCATTCTCTCCAAGAATGAACCAAACACACCCGTGGCATCCACCCACGGCCTCTTTAGGTGTTGACTCCTAACTCACTACCTGCAGCCTAGTTGTCTGTCCTGATCTCTAGTCCATATTCCCAACACTTGTGGGACATCTCTGTTTTGCTGGGTCCTAACCCTCACACCCAGTACATTCAAGCTGACATGAGAACCTTTCTCACCCTGACCTGTCATATCCCATACACATGGTGGCACTGTCTACTGGTGGCCCAAACCAGATACCTGAGAGGAATCCTTGACTCTTTTCTTGTGTATTCTCTGTAACCAATCAGTCCTCAAGTCCTGTAATTCTGTCTCATAATCTTTCATCACATCTTCACCAAGTGGATTTTGCTCTTTCGGCCTTGCCCTTCTTCAGACCATTCTTCGTACGGGAACAAGCGTGCTCTTGCTGCTCCTCAGTGGCTCTTCATCACACTTGGGACAAAGCCCTGACCTTCTGAACTTGGCTGATAAGGCCATACGTGATTTGGTCAGTTCTTACCTTCTGCCTCTCATTACGTTCATTTGCCTCCTGAATACTCTTGCATACTTATTTCTCCTCGATTTCGCATTATTTATTTCTTCTCTCTCGCTCGTTATCTCAGATTTATCCTTAGGACCTAACTTGGCACACTTCTGCTCAAGCCTTTCCTGGGGCCCAAGTGTAGATAAAATGTCCTACCTGCTAAATCCCACAGAGCCCGGAAAGAGAGTGTGGGTCCTCAGAGGAAGAGGGAGCATAGGAAGAGCCATTTCTTGTTCTTTGCTGCCAGGACACTTGACATAGTGTCCTGCACACACGAAGATGCTCATTGTACATTTGTTGAATGAATGAATCAATGAATCAATCAATCAGTCAATCAATCAATGAACGAACTAACAAAGACCTCAGCAAGTACCAGAGTCTGTGTTCTCTTCTTATTTCTTTGTGCCATTTTGATGCTCATGTGCTCCTGCAGTCTTCAATAAGTACTTAAGGCATGCAGAATATTTCTCTCATCTTATTTAACCCTCACAATCTTCTGTGAGATCGGGATTAGCTCTATTCTGTATCTCATGCTCAGGTGAGAGGTGATTTGCTCAAGGTAAGAGAGTCAGAAGATCTGGGTTGAGCTTCCAGCCCTAAGCCCAGGGCCATTTCCATCTTGATTTTGGTGTCAAACATCAGTATGCTTTGATTCTGCTCCAGTTCTGTCTTCCATTCATTCCTGGTCTGATAGATATTTCCTCTGGCCAGGGTTGATTTTCAAACTCAAGGAGATCTGAGAGGGGCACCTGGGTGGCTCAATTGGTTAAACATCTGACTTTGGCTCAGGTCATGATCTCACAGTTTGTGGGTTCACGCCCTGTATTGGGCTCTGTGCTGACAGCTCAGAGCCTGGAGCCTGTTTCAAATTCTATGTCTCCCTCTCTCTCTGTCTTTCCCCCACCTGTGCTCTGTCTCTCTAAGAAAAAAAAAAAAAAACTCAAAAATTAAAAAAAAATAAAGAAAAAGGAGATCTGAGAGTATGGAAGAGGTGCCCTATTCAAAAACTTGGTTCAGTGGCTGCTTTGGACAGTAGGGGTTTGGTATCAGAGAAAGTCAAGGGTTGAAGAAACAAGAGTTTGTAACTTGTATCACCCATTCGAGTGGCAGTGGATTTTAATTTTTAATTTTAATTTTAATTTTAAACTTAAAAAGTCATTAGCCCTTGAGGATAGTATCTTATGCTTTTGCCCATATAATGGGGGTATGAGTAATGGCTGTTCCCTAAAGGGGAAGGAGCCAGAATATAATGAATATCAACTATGGATCAGGAACTGGTTTTCTCTTCTTGAAATCCTATAAAATATGTATTTTGCCTGCTCAAGAAAAATCCTGATAGAGGAAGTCACCAGGTTACACGGTTAGTAAGTGGCTGAGCAAGGTTCAAAATCAGAGCTATCTGGCTTCCAGGTGCTTTGCCTCATGTGGCAGACAGTGCATTCCGAAGGCACACTTCCTGTGCTCAAATTTTTTGGTTCTGTGACTTTACTAGGATGTGTGACTTTGGGAAGCCATTTAATCTCTCCATACCCCTGTGTTTTAATTTCGTAAATGTGGATAATAGTACTTCTCATAGGATTGTAGTGAGGACTAAACAAGGTAATGGCTATAAAGCATATTCCTATACATATTGACATTAATATATCAGCTACTATCATCATCCACACCATCACCTTTGGTCCTTCTCCTTGCCAATGAGGGAGATTTTTCTGGGCCATGATATAAACAGGTTCTCGGAGAATTCGTCTTCAACTCTTTAGCACTCTTTGGAATTTAACAATCGGTCAAGGATGTTGGGTGCATGACTCAGAACATATGCCAGGAGGGATTGAAAGTATAGTTGAAAAACAACAGAGTGGACCACAGCTAAAGGATGGACATAACTCAGCTGGCCAGTCGGGAGTGCTGCCATAGGAATTGTCCTGCAAACAGGGTTAATGTTCTCAGGGGGAGATAGTAGTTTAACTAGGCATGTTTGGATGTTCTCCCTAGGAGCTGCCAAAAATACATTTAAATTGACTTCCTAAGATTAATGGTCATATTTAAAGTACACCTCATGTAATAACTAATGTTTTGTGAATTCTTGCTAAATGTCTGGAACCGTGCTAAGCACATTGCTATCTTATTTAATCTTCAACCCAGTGTTGTAGATATTTTTATTATTTCCATTTTATAGTTGAGGCAACTAAGGCTTACAAAGGTCAAGTATGATCAGTTGTCGAACAAGTAAAAGAAAAAACTGGCATTTGAATCCAAGTCAGGCTGTCTCCAGAATCCATATTTTCTCTCACGTACCATCACGTATCCCTTCTCACACCCTCACACTGGGACTTCTTAACAGTCTCTGCCACAGGTGCCTAATTCTGTGACCTCAAGACTCAGTCTTCATTTATGTATAGATTTTATCACCTCAAGACAGATTCTCCAAAGTGGAAAGGAGGAGAAGAGCATTCTTAGATGGAGAGATGCCCCTGATGAGTTGATGTCAGGTTCTGATCTTGATTTTTGTGTGGGCAATGTCTTTCCACTTGAACCCAGGGGGTAGCTGGCTCACAAGCTCCTTGCAAGGAAGCCGGGCCAGACTCTTCTTGGTGCAGCTTCATTCCTCTTCTTCTATAATGAGAAATAGATTTGATAGTAGCAACTAGAATTTATTGTAGGCCTTTGTGCTAAGAACGAATTAAGACTTCCACTATGCCTTGAACTAATTCTGAATTAAAGGCTAGAGTATCCTGGACTAAGAGATTTTAGCAGCACTTTTGCTTAAATTCTATTAAAAAATTTTTTTCCAGCACCCTTCTCTTTCAGACTTTGAGTATCTCAAAAACATGGTTAAAAGGAGTTTTCACACCAATTTGAACTAGTGGACGACAGAACATAACTTACTTTTAAGAACTTAGTGTTCCTGGTGCTGACTTTCTAAGAGGGAAAGTTCTGGGCCATCCTGTTTTTTTTTTCTTTGTTTTTTTTTTTAATATATTTTTTATTTATTTCTAGGAGAGAGAGAGAGCGTGAGCAGGGGAGGGTCAGAGAGAGAGAGGGAGATACAGACTCTGAAACTGGCTCCAGGCTCTGAGCTGGCAGTCAGCACAGAGCCCGATGCGGGGCTCGAACCCACGAACCGCGAGATCATGACCTAAGCGAAAGTCGGACGCTTAACCGACTAAGCCACCCAGGCGCCCCTTTTTTCTTCAAATCAGAACTTGGGAAACAAGATTTGAGGAAGGGTTCTTCTTAACACTTCCCAATTCAAGAGGCATTCTGGAAGATTTAAATGTTTTTGGTTAACAAAAGGAGCAGGACACGTGTTTTGGTTTTTCCAGGACACGTAGTCACTGTGCTTATTGGTCAGGGAGAGAATTGTGGCTGGGTTTCTCACCCATCAGCTGTGCCTGTGCCTGTGTATCTGGATGTGTTAGTGGGAGAATGAGGTGCAGAGGGAAAGGCAATGTTAGTTTCAGTCCTTATGAAGAGATGAATTTTCTATTATGGGAGAATTCACAGGTAGGATTAATAAGTAAAAGAAGTGAATGTGATCTGGAGTCTTCAACGAACAGTTTAAATCAAGAGGAATTGCTGGACACAGCTAGCAGTGTCTGGAGCTTTGGGTGCTAATTCCAAGATCTGAGAATTATTTTCTTCCAATTCTTCCTTCTCTCTCTCTCTCTCTCTCTCTTTTTTTTTTTTTTTTTTTTTTTGCTATTGTTTATTGGTTTTCTACCACCCATCAGACATTTTGCTCAGGCCTTTACTTACATTACCTCTTTGATTTTCACACAAGGGTCTCAGAGAAGTATGAGTGTTATCTCCTGTTGACCAACAGAGAAATCAAGGCTTATAAAGATTAAGTAACTCCCCCCCAGATCAGGCAAAGGGAAGAGTAAAGCCAGGACTCAAGCCCAGGTTTCCCTGGTTCTAGACCTTGACCTCTCAGCCACCTTGACCTCTCACTGTTTCTTCACTAAACATTTTTGTTCTTTGTTCCCAGGGACAGGATGAGAACTTCAGTCAATGTTGTGGGTGACTCCTTTGGGGCTGGGATTGTCTATCACCTCTCCAAGTCTGAGCTGGATACTATTGACTCCCAGCACCGTGTGCATGAAGATATTGAAATGACCAAGACTCAGTCCATGTATGATGACATGAAGAACCATAGGGAAAGCAACTCTAATCAATGTGTCTATGCCGCCCACAACTCTGTCATAGTAGATGAGTGCAAGGTACCTTTCTCATTCATGGATATTGAGACCTGTATATAATAGTGCATGCTCAGTTTCCTAAGACAAGCACTGGAAGTCCTGCATGTCTTATTGTCACATTTTCCTGAAGAATCATGTAACCTGAGCTTCTAGGAGTCCCAGATCATCTAACTCTGTGTCTAATGTGGCAGGTCTAACAGTGAAAGACCCAATCAGTTGCTTGTTTCATCCATGGAATATAAAACAATCATTCTGACCACCACCCCTCTTCCACCCACTCCACACATTTGATTGGTTTTCTTGAATATTTTGCCAAAGAATTTGTGGCTCTTAAGGCTTTGTTGGATTGCAAATATTCTATTCCTTGAATGAAACATTAAAAGAAATACCCAGAACCACTCAATGTATGTAGCACAAGTATTCCTACTTGCCATATATTACATACTGGTCAAAAATGTGCCCACACAACTTTGGGCAACTATCTTTCTCTTACTTATTTTTGTGGGAAGATGAGTTTTGACCTTGTAGTCACTGTGCTCCAAGAACGGGGAAGCTATTTCAAGTAAAGGATAACTATCCTTCAGGACCATTATCCATAGACACTACCTTTCACACAGTGGCGGCACTAGCTTTCTTGAAACATGGATGTTCTGGACTCTTTTCCAAGCTGCTGGGTGCTAAGTCTTCAAGCTTGATGGGCTCTGTCTAGCCTTCATTGTAACTAACTTGACCTTGTCAAAGACAGAGTGTCATGACCAGAGTGAAGCAAACTTGGAGAAACCCTGGCAGGTGAGCAGAGTCTCCTCTGGGGGTTGGGTTGCTAAAATGGTCCCAAGCAGCAACTGAAAGCAGTCTGCACCCAATACAGATTTCTGATACTCTTTTGACTCCCATTGACAAGATCTCATTTAATAGTTAATTTCTTCCTGGGTTATTTCTGGGTCATTCCAAATATACACATGGCTTCTGCCAGGCAAATAAGGGTGACATAGAAGTGATTCTCTTTACTGGACTGTAACATAGGTCCAGAAGTCTAATGGACCAGCAGTAGTCTTTTGCTCATCCCCTCTATATCAGATACATGTGTGGGTGAACCAAGGCTCTGGTACATATTAAGGAAGGGCTTCCCATCAAGAGGCAGCTGCAAAAACGAACTCAGTGAAAATGATTCAAATTATTAGAAATGCAGTTGTATCTAAAGCGCATATTCCATTCTCCTAGAAAGTTAGCGTTTCCCACATTTAGATGAATGTGCTGGATCATTCCCCATCAGAATGTTAGTTTGGGTCACCAAGGGTCCACATTCCCATGAAATGGCTTTGTGCTATATTTATTGTGTGCCTTGTGGGGTTAAGTTAAGCACTGCCATCTCATTCCTATGACCTTCTATATTTTGATCATTCATCAGATATTTATTGAGCACCCATTATCTGCAAATCTCTGAAATAGGCAATGGGAGGACAGAAAAGCGAATGTACAATTTTGTAGTAAAGAAAAGGGTTGATTCCAAATTACTGCCATGCAAGGAAAAATAATAGCATGAAATAAAGTGAAATCAGCATATGTTTTTAAATCTTGCAATTGTATGTAAGAAGAATCCTAGTGATTAATTGACTGTAGCGTGGCTCCTTTTGGAGCTTCTCAAGAGGCTTCTTAATAATATTATAAGGACATGTTTTGAAAAAGATGGTGTATAGATATGCAGATATATTTAGATTTCAGACTTTCTGGATTTTTTTTTCTTAAAGGACATTAAGCACATCAGAAGAAATTTGCTATATTTTTAAAGCAAAAAAATTCAAGCCCTAAAGGAAGATATTTGTGAACTGTCCCTCTCACTAGGAAATAAGCCCATGAGGAGGGACCCCATTTCCCCTTTTGTCACTGCTGTATCCTAACACCTAAAGCAGTACCTGGCATGCAATAGGCGCTCTATAAATGTTTGTTGTATGCATCATTTTAGCATCTTGACCCTGTGCTTTATTTCAGATAACCTTTTTGCAGGACAGTTCTGTGTAGGTACTGGCTCAGTCTCTCTATAATTGACAGCCTACCCAACCCCCTGCAAATTTGGTGAATTAGCATTTAGATGGTCAGAAGGACACTGAGCAGGTCAGGGACACGCTGAATGGCCATGTTGGTTTAATAACTATCTGGCTGTTTGAATTTTTTTAGTGAAATCCTTGGGTTCCACTCACAAAGTTAGTAGGCCTGAGCCTTTGCGAGGTGAGGTGAACACCTCTTCCTACACCTACACCAATTAACTGAGTTGCCACTGATGCATGAAAGGGGGCAGCCAGAGCCATGGAGATGAATTTGCACACTTTCCCAGAATATCTGAGACCTTCTGGTCCATTCTTAGTCTCACTGTTTTCAAAACCAAGATGGGAGACATTGATGCTTCCTGTCAGCCCCTCCCCTTCCTGCTTTTCTTCCAATCATTCAGGTAGTTGGAGCAGAGTAGGGTGGGATGAACTGGGGAGTAGAGTGTTGGCTTCCTTGAGCCAGGTCAGAAAAAGAAATGCCAAAAAAAGGGGTATCCCAGCCACTTTTGAAACACAGGCCCCAGTATTCAACAAACAAGGCACACCCCCAAGTGTGGCCCAGTGTTCCAAAGGCCACACAGCATGATTTATACTTTTGCACAGCTATTGATCTGGTTCATCACTGAAAGCCAAATAGGCACATTCAAGGTCAGAATGAACAGGCAACTTTCTCCCGGCAGACAGTTTGCTCTTGGCAGTCTTTACTGAGAGTTCACTGAAGGGGAAACAAATTTGCTGCAGCTCTGGTCAAAATGTTAACCACTTCGAGCATTACTATGTCACGTTGGCCTCTTCTTCTGTTTTCAAACTCTTGCCTTGTGAGAACTTTTTAATTTTATTCAGAGTAACTGCATGTGGGGCGGTCATTGCTTGTCACATGGTCTTTCTAGAAAAATATGGGCGCCCACTGGGGGTTAGAGAAACGAATGGCTTTTATTTTCATTCTCTTGGTTTGTGAAGGGCACTTGTGTTCTGTTCCGAGCATGTAGAGTGTGTTCCTAACGCATGCGTTTCACTGCCACTTGGGTAAGAAGAAGATCAGATTTCTTTCAAACATCGCTGCCTTTGTCATGTCTCCATATCCTAATGCTTCCATAAATCCAGTCTCTCCATTATGTGGAATATCAGTCGTGGGTTTAAGTTTGCACATGACGTTGAGGACAGACGGAAGGTAAGCTAGGAAAATGATCTAGAAGTGGAGGGGAATACCTCCCACTCTATCTCTGTAAGGGTTCAGTTCGGTTCGAGCCAGGGGAGAATAATACAGACGCTCTGGTGATTATACTTGATTATGAAATGCCTGCATTGAAATAATTTGGATATACTTGTCACTGATGTCTGGCTTTTAATCCCCTCTTTTCTTCCTGATTTTTAAAGCCCAGATAGCTTATCTGGTATCCAGACCATCATGATTTCTGATTTTGAAATTGGACGTGTATGAACTCCATCTGGCCTCACAGCAACTGAACGCTTCACGTGCATGTGTAGAACTAGCTGTCTAGTTCTGGATTTTTTTCTGGTTGTATGGAGTAGCACAAGGTGGTATTTGTTAAGTGCTGCATTATTATATGATGGGTCTGTGTGTAGTTAGACACCCCCACAACCCTGAAAGCATTAGTAGAACTTAGCCCCCAGACTGCAGACTCTCTCCACACCCCCCAAGGTAAATATGGACTTTTCAACATTCACAAATCTGTGTTGAAAAGCAAGACTGGCTCAGAATCAATTGGGAAAGAACGACATTTAGAACTAACACGGAAGTCATAGAGTGTAACTCGGATCTGGTGCTCCTCCACATAACCCATGGGGTGGTTTTCTGGTTCGTGGCCCGTAAGCTGCATGTTGATGATGATTATTTTCAGGTAACTCTGGCAGCCAATGGAAAGTCAGCCGACGGCAGTGTTGAGGAAGAACCTTGGAAACGTGAAAAATAAGGATGACTCTCAGCAAATCTTGCATAAACTCCCCAGCTTATCCTCTGGTAAAAGAGAGTATGAAACAAGCTTTCTTTAAAAAGAAAAAAAAAATGCATTTATTTCCGTCTTTCCTTAATCTGTTAGCCGAGGCTTCGAGGATCTGTTGTGAGTCAGTAGGCACGGTGCCGTGTCTTTGCCAAGTAATGCTTCATAACCATCTCATTCTCTCAACTGTATTATTGTTTGAATGGATGCTGCTGGAGGAACCAGTTGGAACTGAACATGCATTCTTGCCAGCTTCCCTTTTCTCTCTAAATGCAGAGCCATGGACGCTCTTTTCCCAGGGGATACAACTAAAGCATGTGGCGCCCTCGGGGGACGTGGGATACCGAGCACTCAGTGTGTGATCCCTTCAAGTGTTTTTCATGCTTCTGCTTCATTACGCACAAGAGATTCTGTTAGAAGCCTCTAGTTCTCTCGAAATGTCTTGTAGAGTTTGCCCATGTGTTGATTAAAAGCAGATACCTTGCCTTAGGGAACTCTGATAATCTAGCTTCTGTATACTCTTGAAACTAAATCTTCCAGAAAGAATTCTAGTGGGAGCTGTCCTCCTCATGACAATGGATCACGGAGCCCACTGAGTTTCTGCTCGACCCTTCTCTAGTCTGTGGAAATAGTCATTGACATTTCAGAGTATGTGTCATAATTTGCTTCAAATTGGATAACAGATTAGGATGTAATTTGCACATAGCCCGCCGTATATATTGACAAAAGCAAGAGACCGTGGCCAACACAGACTTGAGCCAGATTCAAACAATCCAATTCGTTTGGGATTGGTTTGCATTCGCCTGACAGTGAAATCAAGTGAGACTATTTGGTTTATGCTTTCCTTTCTTTGTTTCAGCCCTAAAATTCGTGTTTGGGTTTCTAACCAAAAAAGGCATTTTTAATTCCCAAATGGTTTCAGCGATTGTCTCATTAACCTGGAAGACCTAATCATTTTACGCTCCTCACCAAGGGAGGACAGTTATGTTGGTTATGCCTCTTTTAACACCACCTCTTGATAAAAGCAAAGCACTGTCGTTGATCTAATATGCAGAAAGCTTTTGGTGGTATTCTATCAAAGCACATAAAACCAGGTACAGGGCACAGTTGAAAGCAGAGCCAGTCTTCCTCCCCAGTCTTCTCTGTGTCAAGGCACAGAAAATAAGCACTTGTAAATCCCTATAAAGGTGACATTCCTGTGGCAAAGTCAAGAAAACCTTGAGCCATGAAATGGGAGCACATGATGGCCCCTCACAGGTTCACAAATGGAATCTTTTCAAGGCTGTCATGGTTTGAGGAAGTCAATAATGCAAGTGGATTAGCACAGTGCCTTGTATGCCACAGGCACCCAACGAATCCTGATGATAGATTGTGCAAGCTAAGTCTGTCGATGTCTCTCCTATTATTTTTCTGTTGAATAACTCACAGTATTTTCCTAAGGTTGCTGGCTTTGGGAGTTTGCTGAGAACTTGAACATGAATCACTGAGAAATAAAGCCCACTTGACTAACTCTGAGAAGTGTGTAGAAGCTTGGTCCACACGTAGCAATCTGGTGGCCATCAGAGGCCAGCAGCTGGGTGCTGGGGTATACGTAAGTAGTCCTAGAGTCCAAATTCTCTGGGGAGAGGGGATTTTTAGACATCACATATGCTTTATTACCTATTCACAATGACTTTTCTTTTCCAAACTAGAACATACAGGAGACATGAGATTCCAATTGTTTTTGTCTCTGAAACCCCAGTTATTTTTGGATAAGGATCACGAATGAGCAGTATTAAGCAGCTTTCCCCCCCATTTTTTTTTTTAAAAAATTGTCATTGGTTCTTCATTTTCATTAGATGAACAACTAACTGGGTGGCCAAGGACGAACTGAAATGTACTAGTGGAAAACACATCCTTTATGGCAGATATTGTGGGTCAAGGGGACAGTTCCTGGATTTAGCTATGAAACTGTTAAGGATTGTCTTTAAGTGGTGCTCCCGAGAGCTTTTTTATGGTGAAGAGAAGGATCTAGGCAAGGCAGTGAGGAGTCTGTGGGTTTTGCCATTTAAGGCCAGCTGAGCACTTGCACATGCTGGTGTGTTTCTCGAAAGAGTCGTCTCAGGATTGTCTTCCCAAGACCCTGCCTAGATGTCTTCTTGCTTTGCTTTGTCTTCAGCATTTTCCTAGTTATCCTATGAATATATAATGGGACAGTGATTCAGAAGAAACGAGGTGTATGCTTAACAAAGCAGGTTTTTCTGGGTCTAGACCACATGTAATAAATTTCACGAGACTACGCTTGGGGAATTGCATTCGTCTGGAAAGTCAACAAGGCATATTAAAAATGAATAATCTGTCAAATTCAGGACTGACCTGCAAATCCAGGATATATGTAGAGCTAACATAGGACTGCGTTCTCCTATGTTTTTTAGGTCTCATTCATTCTTCTTATGCCATGCCCATTTGGGTGCTCCTTGGCCGGCATGTGTGCCATCAACAGAACAAACAGAGCCAGAATATACCTCCAAAAGCTTTTTCTAAATAAGATCTGTATAGTCTGTCATTTATATGCATAGATTTATATTCATAGGTTCAACACAGATATAAATGCTTATAATGGTCCATTAATATTTGATGATACATAAAAGTTATATACAGACATAGCAGGCCAGACCCATATACTGCATCCTATGAGGTCAATAAGTCAGGGCTTTGACAACACCATTTTGTTACAGACCCATTCACTCTTTTTAGGAATCCGAATCGTTTTGAGAGAAAACCAACTACCAGGCTCTTTATCTTCCCCTTTACAGTTTTTGCCCACCAGGAAACCCAAGTAGAATCATTTGATTACTCACTACAATTCAAAGAGCCAAATCCCGTCAGCAAGAAGAATGGCTTAGCTCTCAAGGTGAGATCTTTGAGAATGTGCCTCCCATAGAGAGCATGGAAGAATCAAGGCAGTCATCTAGATTATGTAGATCTTCAAGTAATGAGATCTGAACCAAGTAGATGTCAGTTTCAATTCTTCACTTCTTACTGTGTGTGGAAGTGCCTGCAGAAGTTCCTTTGTCCTGTAAAAGACAAGTATTTTCTTCTCCCCTGCAACTGCCAGTCAGCTGAAAGAAAGGGTGTCAAAGTCCCTAGCTCCTGGATTTACACTGGAGAAAACTGACAAAGGCTTAGGGGAAATTCAGTTTATGGGGAGATGTATTCCTGGTAGGAAATGTCAGGAATCCCAATGACTGGTTGATTAGAGGGCCTCAGGTCATTTCCAACTTGTCATGGGGAATGTGTCACAAGTGTGTCTCATCAAGAAACCCTTTTGGAGTTGGGTAACTCATCTGCCGGGTCCCTGAAAAGAAACCCAGTCCTACCATGTTTTTGCAACTATCACACTTCCTTTTGTTTTCAGTACAATATTTTACTTTTGTCAAAACTAAGGGCTCTGTCTGTGCTGTGTTTCCCCCGTGAGATACAGCAGTAAGTCCAAACAGGTGCGCACATGCTCAGAGAGAATTTTTCCATGGTTCAGACACTTGAGGAGCAGGTGTTTACAGCTCTTGCTTGGTCTTATGGCTACAAGTGCTCGGCAGCTACACCCAATGGAGGTGGCTCTTCTTTGCTGCTTTTTTATTCTTAGGGCCATAGAGTTGTCTAGGGTGCTGGTTTTGCTTTTCTTATTCTCCGAATAAATTCATTCCAAGCCAAGCAAAAGGACCAACGACATTTTTTTTCAGTTGTTGTAATACTTGCTCTTTGAATATTAGGGTCACAATAATTGTACTCTTAATCCCCATCACCTGTTTCACACATACCCCATCTCCCCTTTAGTAACCACCAGTTTGTTCTCTATATTCAAAAGTCTGGGGTTTTTTGGGTTTGGTTTAGTTTTGTTTTTTGTCAGTCTCTCTTCTTTTCTTCATTTGTTTCTTAAATTCAAAATATGAGTGAAATCCTATGGTGTTTGTCTTTCTCTGACTTATTTCGCTTAGCATTGTACCCTCTCTTAGAACTTAAAAAGATCAAGTTTAAGCAAAGAGCCTGAAGGAATTGAGTTTTGTAAATCTAGTTGTCAGAGATTAATGGTCTCAGTATCTCTGGTACTCTCTGGTTAAAACCTAGAATAAGGGCCATTGAGTGCCAACCTAGGCAGGTGCCCCATCAGCAGATCGTTCTCCTTAGGTGGAGCAAGTTCAAAGCTTCTCAGGCAATAGTAGCTAATGGTTTTCCCAAAAGGAAAACCCAAGTCCCCACTCTTCCTCCTCCTTTCTCATTCCACCTGTCATTGTTGCTGCTTAAGAGACGATTAAGTAACAGACCACATGGTTAGTGCATGAGTTGGCTTTAGAAAAGATGGTGAGGAATCTTATTTGCACACGATCTCATTTCACAGCATAACACAGCAAATTCAGGTAATGACATAGGGATGATGAGGAACGACCCAGTCAGGCACAGGAAACATTTGCCTTGGGTGGCACCAGTTTTTAGCTGTATAACTTACATAAGTCACTTTATGCCCAAACCTCATTCCTTCCCATCTGTAAAGTGAAGGAGTCGGATTAAGTGATTAAAACCCTCTTCCAGCCCTAAGAATCCAGGATATTATGATCTCTGCTTTAGTTTCTTTTTTTTTATTAGAGGCTTACTACCATAAAATATGACTTACCTATAATTTAAGTCAGAGTGGCCCACAATCATGAGTAGTCACTTTGGATTTCTTTTCATCCCCTTGGGAGGGGTGGATATTAACTCAAGCCTCTCTCTTCATTTGATGTTTTACAACAAGCGTGTCAATCCATAGTTTGGTGTTTGGGGGATACCAACAGACATCTTTTTACAAAACTGCCCTTTGCCTAACTCACTGTCTTAGTAGAAGTAGCGATTCAGCTCAGAAGAACCTGGTGCCAGAGGGACAGGGTGAGTCGATAGCTTCCCTCAAGGCCTTAGATCGTTCCTGCCGTAGCAACAGAGTCTGTTCCAAACACCCAAAGCCCACGGTTTTCTCCAAACCATCCTAATCACCAAGCCAGTAATGGGAATTTGGGAGTCTTTGGCAAATAAACTTGAACACTCTTAGGAAATTTGGTGCAGGATTTACAGAATAACAGCGACCGTCTGTCAATGCCTTCCCTCTCTGCCCATATGCAGCCATGCACTTTCAAGCACATGCTGACCCTGGGCCAAGTCCTTTCTCTGGAGAGATAGGCAGGGATATTTGAATTCATTTTCAGATTGCCCTCCTGGTTCACTTTTATTGTGGGCACCACGCAGAAGCTCTGTCTCACAAGAGTGGAGCTGGGCTGGTTACCACTGCTCTCTTCAACTCTCAGGAGTTGCTAAGGTAGATAAAATGCATGGTCTGTCTGTAAGGTGCATGCCACCAGCCATGGCCATTCAACACCCTCTTGCACTTTCTGGTACTGCTTGCAATGGGCCACTGCTTTCATCCTTGCTCTGTGGCCAGACTTCTGCTAAATATGGAATAGGTTTGGTATTTACCAAAGGTGCTGTGAGCACCTTTATTGCCAGAGAAGACTTCAGCTCTTTAGGTTTGGGGAAACAAGATGTAAGACTGGGGCTGAAAGGACTGGATTAAGTTTTCCGTTATTCTTTGCTTTTTAAGTGCAGAAGACCAGATTGCAAGAACAGCAAGAAAAAGGCTATTTCTTAACTGACCCAAATAAGAACCTAGAAAAGTAAGAGAAGCCCTCAAGTTCTCATTTCCTTCACTCAAAGTATATCCTGAATAATTACTGATGAGTTTTTTTTTCTACGTCCAGCCTTGCTTCACCTTCCTACCTCCAAACCAGGTACCCATTTTGATATTTTTAAAGTTCCTCCGATTATTATAGGGGACCCTTTTGTGCCGAGACTAAACCTGTTGCTGAAACAGGCCCCACTGCTTTGCAGAGTCGACACATGACTCTGCCTGGGTAATAACAGGTCTCCCGTTTGTGCGGAGAAACCCCCGGTACCTGGGTGAGTGTTGGAACGTAACAGGTGACTGTTACCCTTGTCATCATTCCCCACGGAGATGGGGAGGATGCAGTGAGAGCCTTGCTCCTCCGGGGCTCCGTGTCTCCCCATGGCAACCACTCAGCCTGCCTAGAAGTGGCTGTTGCCTTCGGTAGGGGAGAAATGCACACCCAAGCCAAGGAAGCTGGTCTAGCACAACTCAGGTTTCTTCCCCATGGAGCGAATCCTCTGAGCTGTGTGATCAGAAGGCTGGCCCTCTGGTTGCTTCATACTCCAGGAGAGTAGTTTTCCTTACTGGGGACTCAACGTTGGGCATCCAGATCTTTCCATAAATCACCTTAACTTCCTCGCCTCTTCTCCCCCTTGGGAAACCTCAACATTGCATTCCCGTGTTGCACACCACAGATCAGATTATCTGGTCGCTATAGAGATTTGTATATAAAAGACTACTTTTGTGAGGATTTTTGTATATTGCTTTTCTATTTGTTTTCTACGGCTTAAGGAGAGAGCTGGCAAACTGTGAATCTAATTTGATCTTGCTGCCAGCAGATATA